TGAACTCCCGACCTCAGGTGATCTGCCTGCCTTAGCCTCCCAAAGTGCTGGGATTATAGGTGTGAGCCACCACACCCAGCTGGGATTACTTTTAGGAACTCTGAACACTTCCAGGCACGGTGGCTCATGCCTGTAATCCTAGCACCTTGGGAGGCTGACGCAGCCAGATCACCTGAGGTCAGGAGTCTCTACTAAAAATGTAAAAATTAGCCAGTTGTGGTGGTGTGCACCTGTAGTTCCAGCTACTCGGGAGGCTGAGGCATGAGAATTTCTTGAACCCAGGAGGCGGAGGTTGCAGTGAGCTAGGATTGTGCCACTGCACTCCAGCGTGGGTAACAGAGCGAGATGCTGTCTCAAAAAATAGAACTCTCAACATGGAAGGGATCCCAGACTCACCTCCCAGACTCACCCAGGAGGCTTCTGACAGGCATGCTGCCTGCCTGCCTTCTTTCCTTCCTTCCTTCCTTTATTCATTCATCCATTCAGCAAATATCTCTAGATTCCTCCTATGTGCTGGGTAGTGCCCTAAGCTAGAGACACCAAGCCCCTGAGGACTGACATTCTAGTAATGCTTGTATATAACTCAGCGTGCTCGAACATGCCCAAAGGGACCCAGAGTCATCCCCAGGACCTCAGTCGCACCCATTTATTGATGTATTCTTTCAACAAATATTTCTGGACACAGTAGCTCCTGCTTGCAATCTCAGCACTTCAGGAGGCTGAGGAGGGAGGGCTACTTGAGGCCAGAGGTTTGAGACCACCAGGAAGCATAGTGAGAACCCGTCTCCACAAAAAAAATTTTTTTAATTAGCTTGACTTGGTGGTGCACACCTGTAGTCTTAGCTACTTGGAGGCTGAGGCAGGAGGATTGCTTAAGCCCAGGAGTTCAAGGTTGCAGTAAGCTAGGATCACACCACTTGCCCTCTAGCTTGGCAACAGAGCAAGACCCCATGACTAACAACAACAAGCTGGGCATGGTGGCTCATGCCTGTAATCCCAGCTTTTTGAGAGGCTGAGGCGGACAGATCACCTGAGGTCAGGAGTTTGAGACCAGCCTAACTAACATGGTGAACCCCCGCCTCTACTAAAAATACACACACACACACACACACTGGCCACAAAAATTAGCTGGGCATGGTGGCACATGCCTGTAATTCCAGCTACAAGGGAGGCTGAGGTAGGATAATTGATTGAACCTGGGGGCGGAGGATGCGGTGAGCCAAGATCGAGCCATTGTACTCCAGACTGGGCAACAAGAGCAAAACTCCATCTCAAAGCAAACAAACAAAAACCCTGAGCACTTTACTATGTGCTAGGCATAGTTTTAGGTGCTGGAAATATTACGAACAACAGCAAAAACAAAACAGGCAAAACCGTCCTGCCCTTGGAGTTTACATTCTAATCGCACTCAGACACCACCAGTGTACTCAGACCTGCCAGAGGGGGGGTTCAAACCCAAGCTGGGGGCCCAAACACATCTCGGGGACATCAGATGCTCTACGTGGACTCTCAGACTCTTACAAAGTCCCAGACCATCCAAGGGACCCCAGAGGTATCCCAGGGGCCCCCAGATCCCTTAGGGACTTCTAGAACCAATGAAAGACTCCTAGACCCAGCTTCATGACCCTCACAGGACCCTAAGCTAGGAGGCCACTGGGACTCCCTGCTGCAGCCATGGACACTCATCTAAGTGTCTCTGCCTCTGTGAGGTCTGTGTCTCTGTCTCCCATCTTCTCCCACAAGGGATGAATTGATAGATGGAATGGAAGGCGTCTGAAGGAGAGATGAATGAATGGGTGGATAGTGATGGAGGAAATGGAGGAAGAGATGGTGGCTGGACACATGCATGAGGCTCATTCATCTGTCTCTGTGTTTCCCCCTCTGCTGCAGGTGCATGGACATCCTAGAGCTGTCGGAGCGCCTGGACCTGCAGCGCTTCCACTCGCACACCCTGCGCCTCTACCGCGCTGTGTGCGCCCTGGGCAACAATCGCGTGGCACATGCTCTGTGCAGCCACGTGGACCAGGCTCAGCTGCTGCACACCCTGGAGGACGCGCGCCTGCCAGGCCCATTGCGCGCAGGCTACTACGACCTCCTCATCAGCATCCACCTCGAAAGCGCCTGCCGCAGCCGCCGCTCCATGCTCTCGGAATACATAGTGCCGCTCACGCCTGAGACCCGCGCCATCACACTCTTCCCTCCTGGGAGGAGCACAGAAAATGGTCACCCCCGGCACGGCCTGCCGGGCGTTGGAGTCACCACCTCGCTGAGGCCCCCGCATCATTTCTCACCCCCCTGTTTCGTGGCCGCCCTGCCAGCCGCTGGGGCAGCAGAGGCCCCGGCCCGCCTCAGCCCTGCCATCCCGCTGGAGGCCCTGCGGGACAAGGCGCTGAGGATGCTGGGGGAGGCGGTGCGCGACGGTGGGCAGCATGCACGCGACCCTGTCGGGGGCTCTGTGGAGTTCCAGTTTGTGCCTGTGCTCAAGCTCGTGTCCACGCTGCTGGTAATGGCTTCCTCCTGCTTCCCTCTGTCCTGTTCTCTTCCACATTCCCAAAACTCCGCAGATACATGCATCAATCCTCCTCCATTTATGCATCCAACCACCCATTCATTCCCTCCTCTACACATCTATCCACCTTGCTTTTTATCATTATTATGTATTTTTTTTTTCCGAGAGGGAGTCTCACTCTGTTGCCCAGGCTGGAGTGCAGTGGTGCTATCTCAGCTCACTGCAACCTCCGCCTCCCAGATTCAAGCAATTCTCCTGCCTTAGCCTCCCGAGTAGCTGGGATTACAGGCGTGTCCCACCACACCCGGCTAATTTTTGTGTTTTTAGTAGAGACATGCTTTTACCATGTTGGTCAAGCTGGTCTCGAACTCCTGACCTCGGGATCTTTCCACCTCGGCCTCCCAAAGTGCTGGGATTACAGATCAGATGTGAGCCACCACACCCAGCCTCCATCCATCTATGTATTCTTCCACCATCTCCCTATCCTTCGTTCACCTTTCCTTCCATCTGCTCACCTGTTAACTGTTTATTCATCTCTTCTTCTTTCTTCCTGTTCATCTGTCCAACCAACCATCATTCATCCATCCATCCATCCATCCATCAGTCCTCCACCCACCTTTCCATCTACTCATCCATCCTATCCATTCATGTACATAGATCATCTTGCCATCAACAAGTCCATCTGCCTTTCTGTCCTTCTGTTCTCCACCCACTCCATCCATCCATCCGTTCATTCATTCATGTACCCATCTATCCATCTATTTGCCCATCCATTCTTTTATTCATATAGCAGTCCATCTACCATTCTATCTGTTCACCTATCCCCCTATTCATTTATGTATTAATCTATCTTTCCTTCCATAGGTCCAATAATCATCTCCTCCCACCTATGCATCCATCCATACCTCCATTGACAGATCCATCTGTCCTCCATTTCCCACCTACCTTTCATCCATCTACCCATCTCTCCATTCATATGTATGTACACCCATCCACCTACCCACAAGGCCACCTAGCCATCCACAGCTGTCCATATACCCATTCCCTATTCTTCTATCCATCCCTTGAATCATGTACCCTTTTATTTTTACATCCATCCAACTATTCGCTTATATATCCATCTTTTTTGTTTTGTTTGTTTGTTTTTGAGACAGGGTCTCGCTCTGTCACCCAGGCTGGAGTGCAATGGCACCATAATGGCTCACTGTAGCCTCAACCTCCTGAGCTTAAACAATCCTTTTACCTCAGCCTCCTGAATAGCTGGGACTACAGGTGTGTACCACCATGCCCAGCTAATTTTTAAATTTTTTGTAGAGGTGGAGACTCACTATGTTTCCCAAGCTGGTCTTGAACTCCTGAGCTCAAGCAATTCTCTCACCTTGGCCCCCCAGTGTTGGGATTACAGGCATGAGACATTCTGCTCAACCTAATTTTGTTTTTATTTACTATTTTTAATTTTATTTTGCGAGAGCAGGGTCATGCCCCGGCTGGTATGTGGTGGCATAATGGCAGCTCACTGCAGTCTCCAATTCCTGGGCTCAGGTGGTCATCCTGTCTCAGCCTCCCAAAATACTGGGATTACAGGTGAGAACCACCATACCTGGACCCAACTTTTCATACAAACCTATCCAGCCATGCGGCCAGCCCTCTCCCCTGCCCTCGTGGCTATTCACTAATTTATCTATGTAGCCACATATTCATTTACTTGCTCGTGCACCTATTACCCCATCCATCACATACCCACCTACCTACACATCATTTATCCTTCTCTCATCCATCCGCCCGTCATCTCTTCCTCCACCCTTTCCTTCATCTTTCCATCATCATCCGCTTATTCATTCATCTTTCCTTCAGACCTCTACCATTCCAACTCTCGACTCATCCAGCCAGCCATCCAGTCCTCCCTCCATTCATCCATCTCTCTCCCCCTCACTCTTCCTCCCTTTCATCTACTCCGTCTTTACTTCCTTGTGTTAGCATCTTCTTAAATTTTTTTTGTTGTTGTTGTTGAGATGGAATCTCCCTCTGTTGCCCAGGCTGGAGTGCGTGGCATCATCTCAGCTCACTTCAACCTCTGCCTCCATGGTTCAAGTGATTCTCCTGCCTCAGCCTCCTAAGCAGCTGGGACTACAGGCATGCGCCACCACACTCAGCTAAATTTTTTTTTT